GGCTCACTCACCAAACCAGCTGCCCCCAGAGAACAGCTATCGCCCCCCGGCACAGAAAGGCAAACAACAGACTCTCTATGGCAACCAACATGAAAGAAGGTTCTGAACTTCTGAAATTGAGCGGCCTGTGAGTGTGACTGGAATCACATGTCCGTCTGCTGGGCATCGTGCCTGCGTCCAGCTTCAGAGAGCCACAGCTGTCACATTCACCAGGTTTGCTAGCGCTGGGTGAATGTGAAAGTCGGCCCCTTTGAAATTAGTCAACATTTCTTTTGCTCCAGGTCTGCTCCTTGGTTTCCTGCCCTGGCTCTGAAGCCACCTTGGCCACACAAACAGGGACCTCCTCCCCAGGACCAGGGGCTCTGGCAACCTACTTTTGGCCCTTCATACTGGCTTTCTTGTGGCCCATGGGACCTCACACACAGTTCCCCAAATCTGTGCAATGCAACAGAGAATCTTAACCACCCCTCTCCTCCAAAGGGTCAATCAGAACCTCCCCCCGAGCCCACAGAAGAAAAGGAAAACAAGATGGATCCGCTGGTACCAACAGGGGTATTATCCTCATCACCTGATGAGGTGGTTGCACCAACTTCATGGTCTCTCCTGGATGATCATGGACAATTTCAACAGCTAGTACAGATAATGGCGGAAGAGCTCCAAATCTGCTGAGGAGAGGTCCAGGACTCTCAACATAGGCTCCTGGAAAACCTACAGTCAGGTCACTCTTCTGGTAAATGAAGCCATACTAGAACCGGCAAAGGCTGTATGGCATAGGCCGGCTACCTGAGCCCCTACCCCCAAGTGGGCAGAAAAGTGGTACTTTGTCCCAGTTATGAGACCAGAGTTCTTGTTCACCCATCCTTCCCTGAACTCCTTGCTGATCCATGGGGTCATGGAAAGATTCAGACAACAGCATCCAAGGACCAGCCCTGCAGAGAAGGAAGCCCAATGTCTAGACCTTATGGGGAATAAAGTGTTTACATCTACTAGCCTTCAGTTTAGAATCTTAAACTAACAGGCCCTTCTCGCACAATATGATTTCTTGAATTACTCTATGTTCCTGAATGCTTGGGACTAGTTACCTCAGGAATACAGGGCTCAATATCAATCTCTTACTGACGAGGGCAAACAGTGGCCAGAATCTCATTACAAGCTGAGGTAGGCACGATCAATATGGCATCAAGATCCATGACAACTGCCATTGTGGTGTGATGGGAATCAGGCTTTCCCAGGGAGGTTGAAAACACTGTTGAGGATTTACCCTTTGATAAGGCTAGCCTTTTCAACAAAAACCAAGGAGTCTTTGCAGTCTGCGACAACACAATCCCATAAACAGCCCTACAAACTGAGGTCTTGCTGCAGCCCTTCTATCACAAGTGCTTCTTTGAGCCACCTCACAAATGGCAGAAAATGCAAAGGCCAAGATACCTGCACCTTCCACTTCAACTCTAGCTACCCAACCTCACTCCCACCCCAACCCCCCCAACCGAGAGGTATTTTTATGGGAGGCTCAAAAGCTGCAAACCAAGACTGATGCCATCTCCACCTGATTCCAAGATCCACTTCGGGGGACATCTATCAAAATTGTCCCACAAATGGAGAGCAATAGCAACAGACAAGTGCTGCTGTATATCATCCACACTGCCTACACCACCGAGCTTCTTGCCCCACCTCCTCCAAAAAACCCCTTCCTTGTCCCTTTTCAGGAACCACTCTCACAAGGGTCTGCTTCAAGAAGTAGGCACAGTGACCAGGGGTTTCAAAGCAAAACTAGCCAACTGCAGAGAGAGATGGAGAACAAGCTCTGTGGTTAGTTTCCCAGCCGCACTTCAGAAAGCACTGACTTCTGGCTGGACCTTCAGCCTCCATGCCATTTAAGGCTCTGTGCTCACAGCAACCACCCACTGGGACCCGAGAGATTACAGCATCTCCCTTTGCTGAGAAGAGGGATTAGCTACAGTATCTCAGACACCAGTGCTGAACACTGTGAGTGATCAGTCCCGTACTGCGTCCCACACCTTCTCCAGGTGCTCAAAGCCCCAAGCCCCACCCCCAGGCAGCTACGATGATGCCAGTATAAAAATCTGCAGTTTATTCAACACTGAAAATATGGGGCCAGCATCAAATAACTGGAATTGAATATCACAATGACTATCATAGTGGCTGTACCCTTCAGCTCCTAGTTTAACCATTGACCTCCTGCGTTTTTTAATGGAATGATGCTGATCCACCATTGCAAGGATGCCCCCTCAGAACAGCCCAGAACGTAGAGACTTTGCTGCAGAGTGTAGGTCCATCCCGGCGCAGAACGTGCGGTCCTGTCACCGCACAGGTAACATTACACTAGTCACTAAGGCATTCTGACTGAAGCACAGCGCTCGAGTCACACCTTTCTGTCCTGTTCTTGTGCTGCTGCAATGGACCAACACGCTGTGAATACAAGTCATTCCATCTAATTCGCTACAGTGAGGGCCTGCGTGTCAGCCGGCAATGCGTTCTGAGACTGATTTAGTGGAGTCAAGCGCCTCTCTCCACGTTTTCCTAACGAACACTGCAACTGTGTTAAACTTCGACCGTAACAAGGTCATTTTACTTTTCCTGAGCCAGGCAACATGTGCTGCAATAAATGTCATACCTTATACTGTGTGGTGCTGAACAGTTATAGCTATCATGAAGGTTATGTGCAATTTTCATTTTAATTTAAAACTGCTCACAGAAATGTAAAATTGGCTTTAAGAGATTTTACCTCCTGCTTATTTAATTTTTATCTATCAGGGCAGGACCTTTGCAATAAAGGGAGATTCCTAGTTTGTGTTTTAATAATGAAATACCTACTATATATTTTCAGCCAAGTGTGATTCCTCCTTAATGTTAGTAATTTCCACACTGTTCTTGCCTTACAACTGCGAGATAGTTACTGCGGGCATTTGATTTCTAAAACCTTTCAATGTGCTCATTTCATAGTCAATTTTGATACTCTATGACAGAAGTTAGATTTTTGTAAGTCATTTGACTTAGTTCCACACAACATTCTGATTAACCAATTAGCAGCACTGTACACTATTAATAAAGCCCATGTTAAATTGACTAATAACTGATGGACAGATCTCAAAAAGTAGTCAAAGGGGAATCATTGTTAAATGGATTATTTCCAGCGGGGACCAGTACTAGACCAGACACTGTTCCACATTTTCTCAATGATCTATAAGTAATACAAAACCACTGCTGATAAAATTTGCAACTGACAAAGTTTGCTGGAGTGGAATAATGATGAGGACAGGCTAGTCAGACAGACAAAATATGTTTTAAAACAGTCCACTGGTCTCCTGTATAATACAACCTTTACATTTAACCCTGCTACCCCCTATACTAAATCCAATGACTTTAGTTAGATGAAAGCTTTTCTGGCTTCAGCAAAAGTAAACTGTTTGTGCCACAGGCAGAGAGCAGGGTGGGATGCAAAAGTGCCCGAGGCCCCTGCGATGGCAGGGAAAGTGTTAGGTGAGACATGCCCAGATGGTCCTGGAAGGGGATCCCCACCACAGGCTGCAGAAGGAAGGCAAAACCCCCAAGGTCCTTGCCAATATGACCTGAGGGAAAACTCCGTCCCATCCCCAAATCTGATGATAAGTTAGACCCTGAGCCTGTGAACAAGAGACAGCTGCCAGGCACCTAGAAAGAGGCGTCTCTGTACCACCTCAGAGCACTGGTCCACCCTGTCCAGTGTCCCATCTCCCTTCAGAATTGCAGCAGTTTGACCAACCCTTTTCAGTAACTAGATTTTTGTTAGTTCCTATATAATTTTGATTGTCCTTTGTAGTATCTTCTCTGTTTCCATATTATCATCCTAACCAAATTTTTACCAATGCAGAGCACGGTGTTCTAAATGTGCGCTTTGTGGATGAGAGGTTCAAAACACTGTAAAGCAAGAAGGCCATATAACAGCTCTCTGTAGGCATTACAAAAACCTCTGCATTTTTGTCACTATGTTAACCAAGTTTTGTAAACACAAAAGTTAATTTTTCCACAGCTTAAACAGAACATTTGCAGAATGACTTGCCAGTTGCAAAAGAATAGAAAATCCAGTACAGTTGAATGTATTGGGTAACATTTGGAAATACTAGAAATTGTATATTTGGCAACTTTTCAGTTTTTCCGCAAAGTGAAAAGCAGATGCTTTCACAACTGTAATTGTAATTCCTCCTAGCATTTCCTATGACTGAAATTAACACCTGTTTAGTCAACCCAAAATGTTGTTCTCTTTAATGCAGATTTTGGAGGTTCATCACCAATACCCCCAAATACCAAAAAGGTCTGGTCGATCTGTTTTGTAGACATGGATGCAGTACTGTACTGTCAGTTTTATTATAGGGTATCCCTGGTCTCCATGGGCCGCTACTCAGATTGACTCTCCTGGCTAGCAAGATGCAGTCAACAGGGAGCAGAGAAATGAGCTTTGAATTTGTTATTCTGTCTTTCCATGGGCATCACTGATGAGGCCCCAACCCCCACTAGCACAGCTCTTCAGTGGGCCTTCTTTTAAGCTGTGTCCTTAGGTACAGCATGCTTTCTCCAGCACCTCTTGCTGCAGTGCTGCTTGGCAGGTCAGCCTCTCCTGCTGCTACTCCACTACAGCTCTACCTGGCTCTCTCTACACCCTCTTGGGCCTTCAGGTGGAGTCAGCATGTGTGTCAAAGGAACATGAGCAACACACGGTGCCTGCCAGAGGTTGAGACTGGCCTGGGTGGGTGACTGGCTCACAGTCAGATTGGCTGTCCTTTCTGGACACACCAACTTCTGGTCCCTCGTGTGAGGCTGCGGAGGACAGAGTCTCAGTGGGATAAGGGACTGACTGTGGGGACTGCCAGCAGTATTGCCTGCTAGTGCCGACTGGTCCTTTTGGGGCTAGGTGAGGAATGGAATGGAAGAGGGTGAATCCTAAAACCAAGCCAGCCTTGGATTCACAGTGCCAAATAACAATAGCCACTGTATTCATTACGTCACAATTTTACTTTTATCTCCAACTCCACATGAACCTGTTGACACAGAAATTCTTGTGTCACATAAAGTAAAGGGGTTTGTATCTTCTGTCACCATGTCAGTGCGTTGGAGTGCTCGTTAGACAGGGAGGATACTTAGCTCCCAAGCTTGGAACTTGTCCCATTGATTTAAAGACTCTAACTTCATCTTTCCAGGAGTCTCTGGTTCTTATTTCGAAGCTGAATTTCCCACAAAGCGGCTGGACTTCAGTAACTGTCACTTTTTGTTACCCTAATTTTATGCTTGTTCTAAACCAAGAGAATTGCAGACATTACCCAGGTAATGAACTGTTTTATCTCTGTTGCCAAATACTCTGAGTTCGATTTGTCTCCTTTTAAATTTGCAGCTTCAGCGGTTTCAGGCTGCATCTCAATCTACAAAAGCAACTAGCCAGTCCTTCACTTCTTTGCATATCTGTAGCCTTTACATCTTTTATTCCTTTATGTCACAATTTCATTTTTCTACGTGTTACACATTTTTGACAAATCAATGAGGCTCACGTTTCTGAATCACAGAGAAACCGATGTGGGCTATGAATGCATTATAAAGCAATAGGCTGCAGTTGTGCTGTATACAGATAGGTTCAATGAGAGAAATCCTCAGTGCTGTAGAACCCACCCACCCATGCCGGTAACTAGCTGACAGAGGAGGGGTTTATTCTGAACAAACTATCACAAAGGAGCAAAGATGTAATAATGGTCAAAGCAAGCAGTTCATAGAATCATAGAATCATAGAATC